TAGAATGCTACTATTGCATAACCAGTTCTCTAAGCCAGAGACTTGGAAATCAACCTGGACTCCTCTTCTCTCAGGCCCCACACCCAACCTATCTCATCTCCCATGTCCTTATGATATCTTTTCCTTGAGATAACCCATCTCCTTAGTATCTATCACTTTACATCAGGCCACTGACATCTCTTGCTTGGAGGACTGCCACAGTCTCCCAACTGGTGTCTCCCTGTGCCAGCTCCCATGTTACTTCTCTGTGTAACCTGCTAGTCAATGGGCCATTTGGGGCTATCCCTGTTCTTGCCTATACTCACCTTTAGGCTAATCTGACTACATTGTCATATCTTCCCAGAACAATAAAAATCCAACTCCAAAATCATTAGTGGACAATGTAGCTTTAATTTTTTTTTTTCAACGTTTTTTATTTGTTTTTGGGACAGAGAGAGACAGAGCATGAACGGGGGAGGGGCAGAGAGAGAGGGAGACACAGAATCGGAAACAGGCTCCAGGCTCTGAGCCATCAGCCCAGAGCCCGACGCGGGGCTCGAACCCACGGACCGCGAGATCGTGACCTGGCTGAAGTCGGACGCTTAACCGACTGCACCACCCAGGCGCCCCATGGACAATGTAGCTTTAAATGAAGGAATCTATGAAGTCACAGGAGGGGGCTTACACTGCAATTACATAGCAATACTTCCTACAGAGACTTCTGGTCTCTCATCTCGGCCCAAGATTCTCCTCCTCCCCCCATCCCCCATTATGGCAGCTATTGCCACACCTCTCCTTCACTCCCTTTCCTTTCCCTACTATCCTGCAGCTGCCCTCTAGTCAAATGAGCTCTTGGTCTCCTCCCAGAGACTCTGTAACTCCCACTCCATATCTCTAATCTGCTCAACTGCCACTTCCTTCTGAAAAGATCTCATCCCAGCATAACTCCTTAAAACCCTTCATGGCTACTCACTGCTTTCAGTAGAGTCCACACTCTATAACATGGTCTACTAGGCTTTGCAAGCCCCAGCCAGCTCCTTGTCCCCATCTTCCCCACTTGAACCCTCTGCTCAGCTATACCGTAGGGCAGTGGGGATTGCCCCTGGTCTGATGTGCTCTGTTCTTAATGTTTACTTATTTTTGAGAGAGAGTGAGCAGGGGAGGGGCAGAGAAAGAGGGAGATTGAGGATCTGAAACAGGCTCTGTGCTGTCAGTGCAGAGGCTGATGCAGGGCTTGAACCGAAGAAATGTGAGATCATGACCTGAGCCTAGGTTGCATGCTTAACCAACTGAGCCACACAGGCTCTCCTGTGGTGTTCTCTCTTCTGTGGAGGTGATCTGTCATGCTGTCCTTTTTTCCTGAAAAATCCACCCCTTTTTCCCTACGATTAACTCCTACTGTCTTTCAGGGCTCAACCTAAACATCTCCTGCAAGCCTTTCTTATAATCTTGAAGACTGTGTTAGGCGGTCTCACAGCAGTTTACCTTTATTGCAGCTGGGCTCTCAATGGCTGTTTGAATAACAACTTGAAATATACTTTGAGGACAGAATTGTATTACCACATGCCATGGGCCTCCTACAGGGCCTAAACTATAGCAATGGACTCAATGGTGCTGAATAACTAAATAAGCAAAAGCTCAAAAGCACATCCCTGCCTAGGGTCTGTGGCCTTAGTAGAGAATGGAACCCATGAGCCTTTTAAGCATTAAGCTATAATTCTGGCCTCGTTTGTGTTCTAAACTGCAAAGGTTAGTACCTGAATTCAGAGAAAAAAAACTCTACCCTTTGGGGTTCCATGGATGATCATAAACGACCCCTAGAAATTTAGCTGTGTTCCTTCTAATCTAGGAAGGCTGTAGTTGCCGTATCTCCACATAAGGGCACATTTTCTAGGCTAGGTATGAATCCCTCTGGGTATTGCATGCCTTAGGACTTTGTACAATATATGCTGAATCATTACTATTTATAAGCAATCTTCCACCTAGAGTACTAGTAGGCTACTTAGCTGACTCCAATAGCTTTTTTTTTTTTTTTTTTTTTTTTTTTTTTTTTTTTTTTTTTTTTTTTGGTTTGGTCTTTCCAGGCAACAACCATGTAGGAGTGGCAGGACTCAGAAAGAGGTATTAACACACCTAAACATACCCCTAAAATGGGAAGGCATCTGGACTTGTGGATGCCTTTAGGATATGTAAGCTCCTGTAAGTAAGGCTTTGTACTTAGACTCAAGATCATATTTGGCCAGGGCTCTTTCCTGCTTGACTTCTGAAGGCTAGCAAAGAACAACTAGAAGCTTTACATAATCCAGAATACAACAGATGGTTCTGTTTTATTTTAGAAATAATTTATTGTGCTTTGTTCCAATTATAAAAGTAGTACATGCCAAATACAAATTTGATAAATACGGAAAAGCATAAATAAAAATATAGAAATCATTTCCAACAAGAAGGTATCTCCACAAACATTTGGAGTTATTTTCTTCCATGCTTTTTTGTTACAAGTAATGTATATATATATGTGTGTGTGTATGTATATATACATGTATATACACACACACACACACAC